AAAATCAACCTAAGTTACTTCTTCTCTCAAGTTTTTGTTGTTGTTGTTGTTGTTTTCCTCCCTACTTTTTTGTCTTTCCTGCTAGTTTGGGTTTCTTGGGGTAATTAAAGAGATTAACTAAGATTCTCCATTCTAAAGGTTGTACAGACAGGGCTATGACAGAACTTCTGTTTCATAGGAAATTCTGACATTCTGAAATATGTCCAGGTTTGGAGAGGAAAAAAATCAGAGAATTTGTAAAGTCCTGTAAAACAGAAGTGTTCCAAAATAGTCACATCAATAGAAATATATCACTTTGTTAAAATAAAAAAAAAATCCATTTAGTTTTTTGCTTGTTTGTTTGCTTTAAAGAATAAGAGCTCTTCTGAAAGAGGAGTAATAAATAAGAAAGATACCATCCAAAACCTTTGCAATGAGCCTTAATGAAATTTCCTTTTACTAAGTAATAATATTTCCAATATGAAATATCCACCTTGACATATTCCCACTGATGAATCAGCATTTTCAAAATGGAAAACATTAATTTAGAAAATGTTTGCCCAGCGCTAGGAATAGACTGGGGAGCTGCTTCAAAGTATTCCTTGGTTACTATGTTTTCCTACTTAATTTTACTAAAAATACCACAAATGTTATATAAATTTTCTCCACATCTTATACTTAGCATACGTGGCACGTAAGCTAGCAGCGCAGTCACCTGAGGGTCATCTGCCTCCATGGGATTTGAAAGAAGTCTGCCCTGAAATCACCTCCCGGGCTCCAACCAGAACATCTTCACCTGCAATGCCGTTAGCAGCAGGCTGCTCCTTCCCCACTTTTTTGTGCCACCTTGGCAGCATACAAAGGTCATGTAATAGTGAAAACTAGAACTTCAAGTCCCCACCAACTTTCACAACTGCTCATTTTCACTCAAGTTCAAATGTTAACAAAGGAGCAGGAGATGCGACAACAGTGAATGTCTGAAGAACAAATTTACATGGCCATTGTCCCCACCGATGACATGTTTATCTACACGCTTTCTCTCGCCTTTGGCATTATTTCCACTGTGAAAAAATAACTTGGTAACCCCGCAGAAGTACTCTCATTATGGCAGTTCAGTCTCTCCTAGGTTATCTGAATTTCCCCCTTTTACGCTTCTGTATTTGGTGACTGCACACAGGCAGCACCACGAACCCCGTCCATTCATAGACACCAGTACTGTCAAGAAGCGGCGTTATTCAGTGTTTTCCTCGCTGCTTCTAGCAAAAAGTGTAACATTTTATGGATCTTTCATGGCCATATGAAGTAATGAAATATAATTATACTCACATCAGACTGGGTAGGGTTATTTCCTTTAATGAGAATGATTAAGAAGAATATAGGGAGTTGGTCCTGGATAAAGATAGCTGATAATGTTGCTTAGTAGAAAACCAAAGAAGCACAGGAAGAAGTTCCAACCCTAATATTAAGATGATGCAGTTTCCAATAAAGTGAGCTAAGCCTGCTCAAGCCAGGCCAAATTTGTGAACCTACAAGCAATCCCACCCAAATCTGCTCATTATATAGACCTGTGCAGCACATTTAACGTTCCTTGACTCGTGACGTCTTCGTTGCAGGTACTGGCTTATTTTATTGGTTTTGGACATGCTTCAAGATCATGGAGTTATGGATTATTTGAACACACTGAGATACATTAATTGGCTAAAATGTAAACATTTTGCATTTAATGAAAAATAGCTTTGGAGGCTGATTTTCGACTGCCTTGTACCTTATGTAGCCATTAGTTCACAGTAGTAGAAAGGTCTCAGAGAGCAGTTTGGCAGCTCACTGCTCATGACCTTCACATGACATTAAGCCTACTGAGCTTTAAAATACCTCCTCTTGTGTAACTGGTTCTGCTCTGGCTCTCCCCTACTATCACAGCAACATGATGGGGTTCAGAGTTAATGCAACTGGTCTCTAAGGATTTTCCCAAGCATAGGCGCTCCCTTCCTCATCTCCAACTTCAGTACCCAGACTTCAGAGTACAGTAATGAAGATGTATTTGTTGCCAGATCCTGCTGTATTCCAGCTTCCCACCTCCCCCCTTCCTTCCCCAGCTATTACAGCACTTGGTAGGACCTCAGATAGCTGAAGAAAATGAGTACCAAAACCAGAATTTAAAGTACCAACATCTTTTGCCACAAACCTCTATCAATCACAGCTTGTGAGTTGTGAGCTCACTCCTCAGCATGACTCTGGCAAACCATTTCAGCCTATGCTTAACTTAAAATCCTCGACTATAACTATTTTATTCTAAGTATTACTATCGTATTCTTTGAGAGTTCTCAAGTGCTTCACTGATATGTTCAACGGGGGCTTAAATAAATAAATAAAATATGAGGCAGAAAAGAATTTGTCCTTGATTTGAGGTGCTTCCGCTGTTGGAGAATGTGTTTCATCACTAAATAATTTCTGAACTTTGCAAAATGATCATTGTTATGGAAATTAACCCTTGACATGGTGTCAGAGCTGGGATTATTGTTTTCATGTTTTGCTGTTGCTTACTACCAGACACAAAGCTTTGGCAACAATATCTTCAGGGCTGGGGAAAATGTGTGTGAAATTGTGTCAGCATTGCAAATGAACTTACAAGCATGTTGTGTAAAACATCTCTGTACCTTCTGCCTTACTGCTTACAATATAGTGGCAATATTCTGGATCCCTTTGGAAATGTGTGCAGTGGTCTCACACAAACTGTATATATTCAGGGACTGAGTTGTCAGCTGAATGACACTCTATCCTCCATTTCTGTGGCTGTGAATTGTGGCTGATGGCCCATGCTGTGTTTTCTGTCTAATCTTGTTATCTGAGTCATGCTGCAGACAACCAGTCAATATATAAGAGCATTAGCAAAGTCAGCTTATAGTAAAGACAGTATTTCCATTAGACACCACACTGACACTGACGATGTTTTTCACATGAAAAGATCACGATATAATCATGCAACAAAGAATAACTGCTAGGTCACCAAACTACTCGCCATATCACTTGGTGGTAAACAAGAACTTACTCCATAAAATCTGTCTTTCTATAAAATTCCTGCCTTGAAAGTTTTATTTAGACCTAAAAGAGGTTGGGGGGTTTCATTAGGAGACAAAACATCTCTGTTTAGTCTTTTTGTTCCGTCATGAATTCAGTTTGCTGAAAAAGCTCTGAGTTGTACAGAGTGTTACTTGTTTAAATTAGGGCTTTCCTATTCAAATAACCTTATTCTATTTCTCTGAAAAGTTGCTTTAGGCAAGCCAAAAATGGGATCTTTATTTCACACAGATGAGACGTGAACACACTGGCTTGGAGGAGGATGGGTTCCATGTAGCTTTTCTGACTACAAACATGGCAAGCAAGACTGCAAACATTTTCACTCTAAGTTCCAGTTTCACCTTCTACAATCTTACATCTTTTGATGTGGATTGCCTATAAGGAGTGCCTTCACTTCGTTGTTTTCTGGTGAATTTTTTTTTTTATTTTTTTGTTTTCATCTAGGCCCTCTCATATCTGTTGCTAAAACATTAGTGTAGGAGGGAAAATAAATAATGAATAAGCTATTAAACTGCAGGATCCTTGCGAAAGTTTGCAAGAAAATCAGACTTTTTCTGGGAGTGCTAACATGATTTATACTGCAGGTTTGTATGACATTGGCAACTGTAAGGCTTGAGAGGGATTATTTTAAAGAGGTTGTTATTTTCACAGATCTTTATGTATTTGCAATTGTGGGTCTTCCCAGGAAGTATGTGATTGCTTAATCCCAATAGTGCCTCAGACAAATTATTTCTGGTAGTGGATCATTCAGGACCATCCATTTCCATCTCCTGTCTTCAACCCCAACGATTTGAGCTCCAGCTCATGAGACCAAGACACAGTTTCATGCAAAGAACACTACTGGATCTTTGAGCAGTAGCCAGAGCTAGACTATGAAGACAGTGGGTCATGGATTTCTGATTCAGTAAGCCACGATGGAAGAGAAGAAAATTTATAAACTTTCACAGTTGTGATTTTTCCAAGGTGGTTTTTTTCATGCTTAAATTTATTTAACAGTTTTGCAGATCTTTTAAAAATGAAGCCAAATATAAAACTGACCTGCCACTTACAAATCCAAAGTCAAAACATTTCACTTCAAAATATCAGAATTAAACATTTAATGTTTCTGATTCTTCCTGTGCTATTTTTCCAGCTGAAACAACTAAGAAAATAAGATTGATGTTCCCAAATACTCTTGTCCCCTTGAATGGAACTTGTTTAATTACTTGACTACTCAAAATAAAATCCTTGTCACTCCAAAGTAGTGCAAAGTAGTGCAAAGCAACTAGGGATGCTACAGCCAAGAAGTTCTGCAGCAAAAGGTCTCCCAGTGGGCAGACTACTCTCATACTGACCCATACAAGTAATCATATGCTGTGCACACTGAAGCAGCTAAAATTCTAATTGTACATGTTTGCAAGTACACTCTTTGCTTCCATACAAGACTTTCATAAAGGCTAATGTATGTTAAGACTTTGTGAGTGAACTGCTGAAAGGACTTGCATTTTTATTTACATTATTGTTTATAGCTTGACTACACCCTCAAATCATTAGAAACACAAGCACGCCCATGCAGAACACCACCTCTGTGCAAACAGAAGTTGGAAGGGCATATGGACAAAACAATAAACTGGTAAGCTCCATTACACAAGTGCAAGGACTTAAACCAAGGACTGGAACGTGCAGTGTTTTCCATGTGGGAAGAGCCCTGTATGTAAATGGACTGACACTGATTTTGTTTCATCTCTTCCTTGCATGTGTCATTCCAGAAAGCAACAACAGACTACAAACTCATGCCACAGTTACACAGCCCCCTGAGGCCTGGAAGGCTGAGGAATTCCTTTTATGCCCCTTACAAATACCTGTATTCCAAAGCCACTAACGTTACAGGTGATAGTCTTCATTGTGCCACAGTCACATCCCAGTTAAATGACTGTATCACTGTCTGCACAGAAGATGTGTACCTTTCCGAAGTCACTGGGATGCACTTGAGCGCAGTCCTGTCTTGTCCAGGGAAGGCAGTACTTCTGGAATATCAACATTAAATTCATTTTAGACACTACATATTTGATGCCAGTAACTCTCAAAATTCTTATGAACAGCAAACCAGGATTGCTCATGGTGACGTTTTTTGTTGTTACGCAATTATTATTATTTTTTGTTCCACTTGCATGTTAACTCTTTCACATCTTAATATCTGCTCTGAGACTGTGAGTGGTACTGGAAGCCAAAGTTGAGGAATGGACTTCAAAACACCACATATTATTGTAGAAGCCCTATTTATTACAACAACTATGAAGTCCATGTGAGGATTCTTACACCAAATAACATGAAGAAAACTCTGTGGCAGAGAGCCCTACTGCCTTTGCTGAAATCCACATGGCAACGCCAGCCCTTTTCTGAAGGATATTTACTGAGGCTTTCAACTTTTTCTTGATGTTCTTCAGATGCCAGCAGTAGCTGAAAGTTTCATTCAGTGTGACCCTGTGCTCCAACATTCCACTGAGTTCAGTGGTTTGGATTCAACCTCAGCTGACCAACTACAACAGAGTCTTGCTGAATTTTGTGCACTAATCCCAAACAAAAATATGTTTTTTTCCAGGTAACAGTGTCTTATCATGGAGAGACATGCAAACAAATTAATAAAAAGTCAGTTGTTTTGCACCAAAGAAATACCCAGTAGAAATCAGTAAGCATGTGCAGAATAGAAAATAACTGTAAGCCCAGCATGTCAAAGTATCAGATGTACAGTGCATAAATTATATAGTTAATCTGACTTTGCACAGTAAGTGGGTTTACTATGGCTTGTGCAGTTCATCTGGGCAACATATGCTCAGAAGGTCTAACCCCGTGGAAGTAGTGCATACTTTGTGGAGCTGATCTGCAATGCACAGTGAATGTGTCTAGGATTTCCAGATATCCAGCAGCCCGGGCAGAGTTGCTATTCTGGTAAGGCTGTTCTAGACAATTGGCAGCATTCTCAAATTCTACCGCAACAAAATTACCAGGAACAAAAAAAAGGACATGTCTGGTGAAAGTCAGATGTATGGTAGATAATAATATAAATTAAAAAAAAAAAAATTCCATTCCTATATATTACACTTTTATTATTGACCTTACACCAGCACCTCAGACTGCTTAGTCACCTCCTCAAGACCTATGAGACATATATTTATAGATGAAAGTATCAAAGCGTACAGAAATAACACAATAACTTAAAAGCGTTAAATAAATGTCAAATAAAGAAGTTGAGTGAAGGTAAATAAGGTTAAATAAAGTTAAATAAAAAGCCAAATTAAAACACCCAAGTTAAATAACATAGAATTCCAGTTCTACATACAGCTCCTAAGCAGAAATACCCGATACCATAGATCAGGGAGAATGAGCTAAATCACTTCAATGTGTGTGATTCCTACGCACTTAACCTGAAGAAGTATATGTTAAATGGATATCTGAGAACTGAATTTGTTCTGCATACAACTGTGACCATTCCTTTTTCAATATTCCTTCTCCTGCAGAATTGAGTTACTCACTCCAGCTGTGACTAGGAAGTTTCTGAGAAGTTAGGCGAGTATGGTAAGCAGGTCACTTGAAGATGACATGTTCTGGGCCAATAACCCAATTTGTGCACCCGGGATTCCTTTTCCTTCAGCCACCATCTAGTGTTACTGTGCTGGGTATTGATTGCCAGGGCGCTTGACATTTGGTTGCTGTTGTTTGATGAAAGCAGCTACTTAGAATGCTTCCTCTGAGGAAATCCATTTACATACATGCACTCTTTTGTACCTGTGCATATATAGGCGATATGCTCTGAAATCTACATAAGGAAAACTCACAATATGCTATTTAGGTGGAGTAAAAATGTAACTAAATACTCCTGCTTTGCTAAATATTCACTCATAACTAGCAACTGAATTCCATCACCTGAAATAAAATACCTGAGACAACTGTAAACTAAATGTCATCCCTCTTTCTTGTCAGAGAAGATGCCTTTTCCATTCAGCAGAATTAATCAACTTATCTTACTTGAAAAATATTTTTTTCTGGAAAACTCCCAGAGAGTCAGGTTTTTAAAGGAGAAATTCAATGGAAAATAATATGGAGTGATTCAAATGGAAAGGATTGAACGGTGGAATATAAATCCTGATATAAGGCTGCAGATGTTTTAAATACAAAGATTTTTAGCCCAGGTGTTCATCCATGTTATATCAATGATATGAACAAGCAGAACCAGAGACCAGCAGTAAAGTACTAAAAGTGTATTTCTATACTGTCCATGAAATTGAAAACAAATCATATTCTACAGCATAGTTTCTTCAAACATCTTTTTCCAAAGCCAATGGCTTCATAGTAATATAATTTAGGTGATGAGCATGCTTGGATAAATGCCACGTGGGCCACAAACTATCTGCTCCACCAAAAGAAACTGCTGTCCCAACTTATCCCAGCTTCCTTTGCACCCCCCATTTTCATTTTTTCCAGTGCAGTAATTGCAATAGCACTGACATGAGTCAGGACTTACTCCAAAATTCTCCATAGCTCCTTTTAGAAAATACATAGAAGTATATATTGAAAGCATCTCCTGACAAGCAGGAGATCTTTTGGGGATTATGTTGCCATCCCCTCTCCCCACCTGCCCTTTCTCTTCCCTTTATTTTTTTGTTGCTTATGAGACGGATGGTTATTATCAGTTTATTATTACTGTTTTTCCATAGACTTTCTCAAATGTCAAGTGAATCTGATCTGGAGTTCAGGCCCATAATTACACTGGACCGACTCCAGGAACTCGTAAATAAATCGGTGGTGGCTGCAATGGCTGCCAGAGCTCTGTCATTCTGCTCTTCTGAGGGTGGACAGAGGCTTTGGCTCTTTTCTAAAATTCTACACTTGCCCCAGAGTTTTTCACACCTTCTTTTAAAAGGCCCTAAGCTTCCTTACTCTAGTTTGGCATAGCCTTACACAGGAAGGGAAAGCTACTAGCCTGCCACATTGTTGAATACGTTCATTTAGAAAAGCAGCTGAAATGTAGATTGTTACTTTTTTTTTTCTGCTTTCTCCATATGTGGAAACCCCGCAGGAACAGACATATTTCTGTCTCTCTTCTCTGGCCTCTTTGTTGACATTAATAGTTTACACTGGGCTCTACAGTGAGGCACATCTTTGTTCTAGTATATCGACTGTGCTGAGCTACAGAGGTCAGTTCCAAAGCTTGGCAAGAAAGTCCCCTAAGTGTAGAGATGTCTGGATTCGAGATCATGGATTTAAAAGGAGCGGGCACAACATTCATTACAGACCTGGCTCACTGAAGTCTTGGAAGTTTACTAGTAAATTTGAATGTTACTTTCAAGCCTGTTTCTAATCATATTAATGCATATACAGCAAAGCATCTGGTTACAGAACAGAATCTCCACCTAGCACAAGCTTGAACTTAAGATGAAGCTACAGATGTTTATCTTCTGATACCCTCAACACTTTTTTACTAAAAAACTTCAAATAAACTACTCAAGCACTTCATGAGAGACGATTCAGGATAAACTGGTTCCTTTCCTTCAGCCTCAGCTGCAGTTAGAACTAGTCCCCACGTCAGTCACCGAATGGTGCAGATGGTAGTGCAGATCACAACTTGCACAACTTTATCTACAGTGGGCTTGTACCAGAAGCTAAAATAATTCCTGAAATCAGAGCTAATCCTGAGTGCAGACGAGGCCTCAGACTGCCAGCTAGTTCCAAATGTTTTTAAGATGTGAACACTTGTATGCTGCCAATGAGACTGAGATGACCAACTCTTTTCACGTGGGTCACTCAAAGGCCAGCAAACAGTAACAGTATTTCATCAGGGCTAACCTGGTTCATATTCAGACCAGTCACATAAAGGTGAAAGTTGCTGGACTCTATAATAGGTTGAATCATTGTGTCTTCTGCAGAGTACTTTTCAAAACAAAGCAAGATACTTCACGGAGTGAAAAAACACTGAATTCTTTGCAAAAGAATGTCATTTCTTTCCTATACCCCCCCCACCCCCCAAGGGAGCCCCATTGTTTAAACAAGCATTTGCTTGTGCCCCAAAGTACAGATGTTTTTGCCTCCCATCATAAATCAAACATGTTTGTGTCTAACGCTTTAAAAAAGTAGCGAAAATAATCTTTTCAACTGACATGGATTAAGGTGGTTGGTGTGACCCAAATTATATTTCTTTAATAATCTTAATTCTTTCCTGGTTCTTCTGGGAACAAAAGATTCAACAAAATCATTGTGCCTCTCTCAGAATTCAAATCAATCTTTTACTCCTTTTTAAATGAAAATTTGAAATAATCATGCATCTGGATCATGGATTAAGTTTGCAGGAGAAAAATCTCTGGCAGATGATGGCAGGGACCGTGCCTAAAGCTGAATCCAGACAAATCAGTTCTGAACTAGGGTGAAAATAGAGTTCTTGTTAAATGGATTGCAGGTTTTCAATTGTAAAAGTTCCATCAAGAAACCATTCTGGTACTTGAAAACAAATAAGGACAGCATCATGTCAATTTCAAAAAAAGCAAGTTTACCATCTCAATTATTTTTTCTCCCCTCCACTCAGACAATTCTCTCAGGCCTGTGTTATAGGTCATTTTTCACAAGATCAGAATTCCGTCTCTAAACTGTGACAATTCTAGTGAGAAGGTGCTGCTGCTGCTGCTTTTTTTTTTTTTTTCTTTAAGGAAAGGGAAGGTCTTTGATAGTTTCAAATAGGGGTGTTGGACAACAGGACAAAATGTGTTGAAAGGCAGCAGGATAAACTATATTTTCAAGGGCAGTTTTTTAATCCAAGATTTTAAATTTTGGATTTTGTTTAACCTGGTTTATGATTGACCTCCTTTTCATGCTAGCTTTCCTCCTCCCATCCCTCAATCAGACTGGAAGGACACGTCTATGCTTTCTATTTGATGTGGGTTTCGTGTATCTGCACAAAGTAATTCATATCCAGTAGGCAAAAGGCATGTGCCCATACCACATCATTATCCTGCAATTAAGAAACCTCTGCCTGCCACAAAGCTTATAAAGCCCAGCAGTGTTTCCAGCTAAACCCTCAGTATTCAGTTCTGAGCTCATCTAGAGCACAAAGCTGCTTTAGTGCTGCAGACAAAGATATTGTGTAGCATACCTTGTGAAATACTTGTTGGGTGTCAGTTTGAAAGTTTTAAAGGTTTGCCTCATCTTAGCGCGTTTGCAGACATGTTAAGATTTTCTTCTGCTTTTCTGCACAGACTTCATGCAGATATGGAGAAGACAGCTCTGCTCTTGCCTATGCAACTGAATGAAACATGAGCATCTACTGTGTTCCATTCCATGTGTTCTCTATCAAAGTTCTCAGGTCTAACATATTCTTCAAATGATTCCCCTTTCAGTTGCACTCTCTGCGGTATGTGCTGCAACTGTATTTCAAGTTACTTTGAAGGATCTGATCTAGTGAAGCAGGGTTTGGGTTCTCCACATAATTCCCTTAGAAAAATGTTTGTCTAAAGTAAGATTAAAGTGAGAGGAAGACATCATAATGGTACTTCCTCCATCTTACTAACCATGCCTCAATTTCAAGCAAGCGCATCTGAGAAAATAACAAAAAAAAAGGTTTCTCTCTCTAAATAAAAAGTAGTGATGACTTTTTGCTTCCTCCAGTTTCTACCCCATGTGGTCCCAGTAGTAGAGAGAAAGCAGGACATTCATTGAATTGTTCCTCTAGACAGCCTTCTCCCCAGGGATGTCCCAGGATCAGCTCCAGCCCGGCAGCAGCAAAGCCTGCAATTTGGTCAAGATAGACCGAAAACGTTGTGCAAGGAATAAAGAGAACAAAGTCCTATGTCTCCGAATGTACACTGAAGAGAAACACCGTCCCAAAATGTTGCTAAAGCAGGAGCCATCCATACACCTAACACCACGGTGTCAGCAATGCTGCTGAGGCCCTGCCTTTGTCACGCTAGAGCTCTCTCCTTGGGCCTGGTGAAAGGGACCCCAAAAAAACTCCCACCGCACGTCAGGAGGTTGGCTGGAGAGGCCGGCACGGTGCGGGGAGGTGGCAGGCCCCGGTTCAGGCCCTGGGTGCCCTCACACCTGTGTGACCAGCAGCGGGACGCCTCCTCAGGCTCCCCAGCCACAGCCTGGCGCCCACCTGCCACCGACCTGACCTCCAAGGTCCGGGTGTACCGGGACGCTGTGCCCCGGTGTCCCCCGCTCCCCGTGGGGAGAGGCGCCCCGAGGCCGGCGTGGAGGCCCCTGAGGCAGGGCCCGGTACGTCCCTCAGGCCTACGTCGAGCTTCGGCCCCCCATGGCCACCAGTTGCCGCCTGGGGACAAGCTGGTGCCACTGCCTCAGCCTCCCCTTAAGGGCCTCACCCCGGCGGCCGTTACCTTCGCCGGGGGCTCTCGGCAGGTGGCTCCTCTCGTGTCGCCGCCGGCGCGGGATCCCCCCCGTGGGGTCGCGCCGGGCGCGGCCCCTTTAAGGAGTGGAGCAGCGCCTCCCGCAGGCGCGCGCGGAAGCGGGGCGAGCGCGGGGCGAGCGTGGGGCGGGCG